TGCCCCAGCTGCCCGGGGAGGCGATGGCAAAGCGGGAGGTGGGGGACGGGCCGTGGAAAAGCCACCCTGCTCGTGTGGCGTCCCCGGAGCGCGGGGCAGGCGCCCGGGTGCAGGGACATGCTGCGATAGCCTCTTACCCGGCTAGAGCAGAGCCCCGCAAGCTTCGCCCTGCTGAAAGCACCACTGCTGGCAAAACCAGCAGTGGATTACCGGTAATGAACGCATAATGGGCTTAATAATCCCATTGATTTGCAGCTCCCCTTTGATGAAGGCTGGCTTGTTGACAAAAGGGATGGGAGCGCATTCAGGGAGCAATCCCCCACGGTCCTGCACAGGGAACCTATTTTAGAGGACAAGTTGTGAGGCAAACCTCTTCCCCCCACCCCCTTTCCCCCGTAGGCCGTTACCTCCTGCACGGACGCTGCTCTCCAGCCTCTGCCCATCTTGTTTTCGCTGACGAGTGGGTGCCCACCTCGGAGGTGCAGTTTGTTGTCAGCCCTCCTGGATCATGGCGCGCAGCTAGCCAGCCATGCTGAAACGTCTCCCAGTTGCCAAGGCTGGAGCCGGGAAGGGGGAAGGGAGGTGGCTGTGGCAGGGCTGTGGGGGAGGATTTTCAAGGAGGCTGCTGCAGGAATAGGGCCTGGCGGGGAAAGCGATGACTGCGTGGAGGGAGCGTTGTGTGCAGCCGCTTCTAGCGAGCCACCGTTAAATCACAAGCTGAGGATTTTTGAGGCGGAGTGGATGTAAAAAGGGTTGCTTTCAAGGAGAAGATGAGGGACGTACAGTAGTTTGGGCACTTTGGAGAAGAAACTGGTTACAGAGGGGAAGACAGGGTGCTCGGGAAAGGTGAAGAGGGTACTTAGCTAAAGGATCAGGAAGGTTGTCTACTGGAGATAGTTTCCATCTTGTCTTTGACAGTAATCAGAGCAAGCAGCCGTATGTTAAGGTTTCACTAAACTGAATGCTTGGAAAGCCCTCAAATTGCTGGTTACGTTCCTGTAGCCATTGTAGATACAATCAGCACAGCTTCAACCTGAGCGTGCCAACAACTGAAGTCAGCTCTTTGCGGGCTCTTGCACAGAGAAGACCTATACAAACAGCAAAGCCCTACCTGGAGTCGACTAGAAACGCTGTTAACAAATATAACAAAAGCTCATCGTGGTAGGGCTTTCCAGTAACAGAGAAACTCACTGTGTTTAAGTATGATTACAAAATCTCCTGCTCCCATCGCTGACTGCGACTGAATGGTATGTTTGGACCCGATCTCAACTGTTTTCAGTCAAATCATGCTTGTTAGCGTGACGCTGACACCACTCAGTTGTGCTCAGTGCTGTGTTAACTATTTCAGACCTTTGAACGGTAGTGCAATGCAACCGAATTTGTTAGTGGAAACAAACCTATAGGGAAATTTAAAGACAAATTATTTGGAGAAACTATTGGGAGGGAGGGGGGAAGCAGTGCAGTGTATTCCACAATGGAAGAGGAGATTTTGGAAGGTCATGGCATAATTCCCATAGTCTTCATCAATGAGATTTTGAATTTGCTCGTGGTATCCAAAGAAAATCAGTTGCAATTTCGATGCAGTTCAGATTTTAGAAACTGCATTTCTTGTTTTCAAACTTTCTAGAATATACAAACAAGGGAGAGGCTGTACAGAATAGTTCTTGCAGGCATGTGCTTATGTACACATAAACAGCCACGCTTCAAGCTCAGCGCTTAAACGAAAATTTAAGTTTTCACCCTCCTTTTCCATTTCTCTAACACACATAAACACACAAAATACTGTAATAAATCTAGCACTTTGAATTATACACAATTGTGGAGTATGTTTAGATTCTATTTAGTATTTATGTCTAGGTTTTTGTATTTTTTAAAATACAAGTGAGCAAAAACCTGGTCTAGCTTTCGTGTGATGCCCTAGATTTAAGCTGCAGGAATGTAATGACAGCAGAGAGTTTGCTGCTGTCATTTTCTATTTATATGTTTTTCTTGGGAAATTGGATGGAGTCAAATTACCACCATATTTTCTTAAAGTGTAACTTTTATTTAGTTCTCTAATTTTGCCTAGCCTGTTGTACTGACACTGGTAATAAACATTTACCAGAAATTCAAGCATCACATCGCATTTAAGTAGTATAAAACAGAGTTGCATGAAACATATAGCTCTTTTATTTGTAGCTGTTTTAGACTACATATCCCAGCATACAACTCTCTCTTTTCCCTTTAGCTCTAGATCGAGATGGGATGCAGATGATTGGGACCTGTAGTCACTAGAGACACTAGCTCCGCAGTAAAGGAGGACGTAATAGGAATCATTGTGAAACTCTTTCATCACTGCATCATAAACCATGTCTGAATTATTGAGAAGAATCATATTTATTTATCTGGAACAAGGAATTTTGATTAGCATAAGAAATCGCATTTAAAAGACATGCTGTTTTACTGTATATTTTTTAGAGAAAAGATGTTTTCTATTTAGAGCCTTTTCATTCCAAATTCTGCTTCCTGCTACAGCTCTTAAAAAGTATTTAGGTGGATAGTATATATCTATGTATCAAATAAGTAGATATTTACCACCTATCCACACTTGTTTTTTTCAGGGAGGTGTATTTTGTCCAATGTGTTCATTAAAACTCTCAATTTAAAAAATCCCCTATTTTGTCAGTTAAGCTTAGGACAATGTTCCCAATGACATAATTTCCTATAAAAATAGAGTAGGAGACTGCAGTTGTTACTAGGATCCCATGGCAATTTAACTGCATTTTGGAACCACTTTCCATCGTAAAGGCTATTTCATTCTGTACGAGTCAGCTGTAATCTCTGTGCATTGATATTACCCACTGTTCCTTTTAATTCTTTCAGCTTTTATAAAATTGAAACTTTCCGCAGAAGTGGAGCCTGAGGTATCATAACTTTGTACCTCCTTTAAGAGGGAACATTTAGTACAAATATTAACTATCATGTTGCATGATTTAGATTTCTTGATCCATAAGTGAAAAAGCTCTACTTCCTTCAGTGTTTCACATGCAGTCTATGCAAAAGGTCAGTAAAAGCAGGACCTTTTTGTTTCAGGTTCCCTTAGTTATCTTCCCCGTTTCTCTTACTGTCTTCCACTAATATTTGATGTAGGTGGGAAATAATATATGTCAAGTTACTCTGTAGCCTAAAAAGCTGGTAGACTGGTGGTTTGTTCTAGATCCTGTAATAAGACAAAAAGCATCTTGGGTCCTGGAAGATCCATCAGTCTAGTGAGGAATATTTATGTACAGTTTAAGACTAGAAAGTGGCTAGCAGTAAAGGATTTGCCTTCTTTCATGTAGCCCTAGAAATAATCTTTCTCCAGCTCAGGAGGGGAAAGGGTTTGAGCATAAGGGGTTTTGAGCGTATCTTCAAGTTACATAGAAATATTTGTATGGCTCCACAATGCCTGCACCTAGAGTCACAGGGCCACGTATGCCCCTATCAACGTTTCAGTTCCCCAAGGCTGTAGTTTATCTCTGGCACTCAAGAGTTGTACCTCTGGAGACCCCTGTTCCAGCGCATGAAGTCACAGACTGAGTGGCCCCTCTGGTAACTGAGCCAGCTCTGTCACGTGAACTTGGATACCGTCTGTGGTTGTGTACCATCACTGGAAACCATTTGAATCCCTCTCTGTGCGAGACTAGTGAACCTTTCAAATCAGCATCTGTGATAATTCTGTGTCACTCTGAGCTATCCGAGGACCTGGTTAATTGTAAGTTTCCATCACAGGATGCTGCTAGAAATTTCCCATGTACATTTTCTGCGGTAGACAGTCTCGTGAAACATATGAGCAATTGCTTTGGACTGTGATTTGTATCACCTAGCAATACTCATCTAAATGTAAGACATATAGTCAAGCTAATTGTCCAGGCTAATTGTCCACTTGAACCAGTGGAGAGAGACAGGCACCTTCAAATAATCATTACTCACATGCTAATTGGTATCTAAAGCAGGATGGGTGAGTTGCCTTCTGGAGATGACATTTTGTCTCCTATAGTTTCTCTGGCTATAGAGGAAGCTGAATGACAACTTAGACTAGACAATTTATAGATGGCTGAAATTAAATAAAATGAATCCTGTCTGTGGTGCATAGAGGGCATCCTAATATAAAGCTTCACGTTAATGATATGTGTGGCCTGTAATATCATGAACTTAAACTTGCCAGAACTTTACACTTGCCTTGTGAACTGCTCATGCCCTGTACCACCTCTTCTCCAGTGGGCTGTACCTATTTTTGGAACATAAAAGCCAGCTGGATGACTGTTGCAGGCTTTCAGTCTTCTTAGTACTATTGCTGCAACACCCTGGTGTGATGACATGTGCAGGTATCTGCTCAGACAGCTGGGCCATTGGGATCTCCATCAAGTGCCAGGACTGTAGCTGTGATTAATAATCACACAATGTTTAAATCATCAAAAGCACACACCTGGGGTGTATCCTGGATCCAAACCGAATTTATCTGAAGGATTTCACAAAGACTTTGGACCTTTGAAGAACATGATATGTAAAGGTCCTGCATTCTTGAAATGCACCACTTCTGATATAGTTTGCTAGAGTCTTTAAAAAGGCTATGCAGACTTCCACAGTTTGGCCCCTCTGAGACGAGATTTGTGCTTTCCTGATATTTTTTTAAAGCAACCTCCAAACAGTAAGGACATGCTTTTAAAATAAATACAAGTCATTCTAAATCTACAGAAATATGTACAAAATCATTAGGGCATTCACAATGTGGTTTTATTATTATAGCTGTAAGAAAAAGAACGCAATTCTCAATGATGAGTTTTGTCTTTCTGGTGAGAATTTGCTGATGGAAGTAAGCTGCAGTTCAGGAAAATCAACAAAATCAAGGCACACTAAGGACCCCAATATCAATACAACAAAAAGCCTTTTATTTTGAAAATTTATATTAAGATAAAGCTTTATTCTAGAATACTGTTACTATTTTTGTCTTTCCTTTTTTCTCCAACTCCCCATATTTTATCTGTCGGCTTCTCATTTGTCAGTAATCATTTTGTGTCATATTTACACTGATCAAGAACAAAGAAAAACTAATGTAGTCATGATAGCGTATTTTGATACTTTTCCTTATTCCATTTTTGCGGTGGATTAGTGGCTTCCACCCAATGAGGCAGACCTAGGCTAACAAGTCATGTTGAACCTGTGCCAGCCCCGAGAATTGCACAAAGATGGAATATGGTCAGTTTTTTCAAGGGAAGCTTGGCTATGAAAAGCTTGGAAACCATGGCCTTATGTAGAAAACCTTCATAATAATGAAGACTTGCTCTTCAAGATTGTTATTTGGTAACTTTCTGTAATATTTTCCAAGATGAATACTGCTACTAGACACTATTTTGGCAGCTGACTAAGGATATCAGATTCAGTAGTCCAGTAACGCTTCCTCAATTTCCTTTTTCTTAAAAGAAATCTTACTGGAGATGCCAGACTGCTAGGTGCGATTCTGAATCCTTCACTCTTACAGGTTCTCAATGAGCAATGCCCTTTCTGTACTTCTTAACTAATGCATTTTTTGTTATGTTATATAAAGGCCAGTTTTAATGGAAGAAACAATTAATTGAATTGGGGAGCAAGTTCCACTTG